AAAAAAAAAAAGATGCAGAAGAGAATAACAGTCCTACCATATGTTTGGTTTAATATTTGCTTGTGCATAGAAACCAGTCATGAGTTAAATAAGGCCTAAATTTAAGAAGGTTTTTGGTTTCATTACCTAATTTCTACTTCATTCCAAATTATTTTCCCAAACAGAAAACATACTTATTGTTTGTGCCTATATATGTAAAAAATGACCTGATAAAAGATATGAGATAGCTAATCAACTTCAGAAGTTATTTCAAATTTCAAATTTAATTTGTGAATTATGTTTGTAAGTATCTTTCTGGAAGTTCTAACTAGATAATTATCCAATGAAAAAATCTTTATTCTTTGAAAACAGCTCTTCAGTTTTGTTTTTGTCATAGACAGATTCTGACAATATATACATGTATGGCTCTGGAAATTGGAAGGTGACTTCATTAATTAATCGTGAACATCTCTGAATTTGTTTGCCTTTGAGAAAATCACAATTGCGCTTTCCAGATCTGTAGGGGAAAATGTCCACATATAAGTCAAACTCTCAGATTCGCCCTTGTTACAAACAATCGATCACTACCTCTTGAACTTGAGAAATAAAAAATATTAAATAAATTCAAAGGAAAATAAATTTCCAAAATTAATGCAAATAGAAAGTTAATATGCTAATTATGTGTTGACATGTTATGTATGTTTCAGATCACCAAGTCATCTGTTCAACTACTTTACCAATCTCCATAAATACGGATGGGTAATATAATTCAAGATGCCCTTCTAAAGAGGATTACTTTGGTGAATTCTCTAATGTTTGGACTTTTGCAGTAAAAAGAAAAGCTATTACCAAAGTTTAATGAGGCCACAGCATTTTTTAAAGTTCATATTATCTGCTATTTAAAGTATATATTTTGAATATAAAAATATAATTAAAAAATTTTTTTTGGTGGAAGACAGATGATGCTCCTATTTCTTTTCCATTAGGCAGTTGTTTCTGGTGATGAAGAATGATTTGGTAAAGCGGTTAACAAAACATTTTCCAAAGACACCAGAGGGTCTGTATAGTATTGCAAAGCAGGACTGAATCCCTTCTGCTGTAAATACTGGATTCGACCTTGGTCAATCAGCAATTTACAAAGATGCCCTATTTTCTTCTTTTCTTCAATACTAAGAAGCCTAAATTGAATAAACACACACAAAACATTGTTACAATTTTGCAAAAGTTTATAAAAAATTATTTTTGTCACTTCTATTTATTGAGAGACTGTTAACTAACCCATTTATTTATGATCACAATAAGAGACATTTATATTTTAGCTTATTCTAAAATTAGATGATAAAATACATTTTCATGAATTGTTGATAATAGTCGTCCAAAAATAAAGTACAGTAATAATACAATATTTCTCTATTAGTGTCCTGCATTACAAAAGTCATCTCTTACCCAGGCAAATTATCAGCACCGTCATCTGTGATTCTGTATCCTCCATCATCATGCTCTTCACTATCATCATTTTGATTATCTTGTCTCTTTGTGGTAATATTTGAGGCTTCCAAAGATGTTTTCCGCATCCCACAAGTTGCCCAACTACTCATTCGCTGGAAATAGTGGAATTCCACTGCTCCAAGGCCTAGAGCCCTGAAATATTCTTTGCCCACATAATGTCTCCAATCACACCTGTGGTGACAACAGAGTGCAATAACAATGCCAGCCACAGGGTTCCACTTCTCTGGGACATTTTTTTCATTTCCTTCCTTGGCCAAAGTGTAAATTTCTTTTTCTGTTTTATCATTCTTTATGCGTTTGGCTAAAGGTTCTTCATTCCTTTCCTCAAAACTGGCAGCATAGGTTTCAACCAAACATCGTAATGCAAGATCTGCAAACACAATTATGTGGCCCCCCAACCACATCATCTTTAAAAATAAATATTTTTTACATTTATTAAGCAGTACTGTTTTAAAAAACCCAACAATAAAAACAGCAAAAACCTTTATATTGTAATAATTCTATCGTGAATTATCAACTTGGTTCAAATTTGCTCTTTTCTTACTATCTTCTCAATTTTTTTAATGATTTATTTTGCATAAAGCCTACTTCCCAATAAAACTATCTGAAGTTTAAGATCTACAATTTGAAGAACTTTTACCCAACTACTGAATTGTCTCTCACTTCTCCTACCTTAGCTGAGAAAATTACTTGTATAAAAAAACTATTCACCTCCATTTACATTTTAGTGGGAGGGAGGGAGGGAGGGAGGGAGGGAGGGAGGGAGGGAGGGAGGAAGGAAGGAAGGAAGGAAGACAAGGAAAAAGGGAAACCCAGTGTTGGGTTTCCAGGCATAAGGCACTGTGCCTGACCTGAATATTAACATTTAAAGGGCAGAAGTGGAAGGGGACTGTGAAATAAACAGAAGGAATGACATAGATATAGGGGAAGAACCAGGAAATAAAAGTATCGCAAAAGAGAAGAAAACAGAATCTCAAGAAGGGTAAAACACAATTTCAGAATTTTAACTGCAGCAGAGATGAAAGGAAGATTCAGATACAGTGAATCAGGGGAAAAAAGTTATGTGGAACATGAGAAATGGCCACTGTAGATCAAAACCAGTTCCCCCAGGATGGAACTGGTTTACTTTAGAAGACTTTTTTATGAGGCTTAAATGAGACAAAGTATGTGAAAGTACAGTCATGCATCGTTTAACCATTGGTGTATGTTTTGAGAAATGCATTAGGTGATTTCTTCACTGTGGGAACATCAGAGAGTACTACACAAACCTAAATGGTGTAGTGTAGCCTACTACACACCTAGGATATATGGCATAGCCTATTGCTCCTAGGCTACAAACCTGTACAGCATGTTACTGAATACTGTAGGCAACTGTAACACAAAGGTGAGTATTTGTGTATCTAAATACAGAAAAGATACAGTAAAAATATGATATAATTTTGCAGGACCACTGTCATACATGCATTCCATTGTTGACCAAATCATTGTTATGTGGTACATGACTATAGTCTTAAAAACTATGAAGGCCAACACAAATATATAGTACTCAATGCCATTTCCAGCCAATATGAATAATATCTATGGATGATCCAAGTTACCCATATGGGTAGATGATGAAACTAGCAAAAGTTAGGAGATGATGTAACAATAATTAACATTTATTGAGCACTATTATGTGTCAGACATTTTACATGCAACCCAGTAAATTATTAATATATTAACATCTCTGTTTTATAGATGAGGAAACCAAAGCTCAGAAAGGTTAAGTAATTTGACAAGGTTATACAACAGAGCTGAAAGCTAGACGATCTGATTCCAAAGCACATGCTGTTTCTACTTTACCATGCTAAATCTGATGGATCAAAGTGTTAAGACAAGACATCTTACATATTTTTTTTTTTTGTCTAACGTTTAACTTTTTTTTTCCCCTCAGAATCCTGAAACACAATAGTCTTCTAGTGGGAGAAATTTCTGAGTTCTTTCTAAGCAACTACTCTAAAAAAATCAGTAGCTTCTGGATAGAATCATACAGTTTCCATAAATGGTTTGATTTTCTTTTTCTGGTTGAGACATAGCCCAAAGAAAGAACTTTAAGGTCTAATGTGATGCAGTATTTACATACAAAACTCTTAATTCATCTTGCAAAATGGCCAAAATGAGCAGATAAATAGGAATGCTATGCATCTAATAAAACACAGGGCCCTATAAAGTGCTCTATAAAGATTAGTGAATTATAAACATAAGATATCTATTCAAAAGAGACCACTGATATGGTTGGGGCAGGTTAGGCCAAAACTTAATGCATTAATGTAAACATTATTAGTATGTTCACATACCTGTCGCCACACCACACAGATGCTTTCCAATTCCTACCACAGGTAATTTTCCTTCTCTTAGCACAGGAATCTTGTCTGAAATGGAAATGAGAATTAGGTTACATATTAATGTGGCTTTCCAAAAGAAATAACTAATTAGAGTCTCTGAATTTTAGCCTGAAAGAGGCTCAAACAAAAAATTCTCACTTTATAGAACTCAACATATAATATACAAACTTGTTTAGGGTTCATAACATCAGGAAGTTAATATATTCAGTTAAATAATTTTAAATACAGTGATTTATATACAAATGCTAGGTTGCTTTTCATGGTTGGATTAAAATTAGTGAATGGAAGAGGTTACAAAGATATGTTTGCATTATTTTCTTCGGATAATCTGAAAAATAGAAAAGGTATAAAAAGGCCACTACAGAGATTGATTGAGGAGTGTTCGTGTGTGTGTGTCTGTGTGTGTGTTTTGTGTAAGGAATGTGAATACCACAGTGATGACTTCTTTTCTTTGGTACAATTTAAAATTCTAGGAAGTATCTTTTACCTATTAGCTAGGCAGAGAACTATCTCATTTTCTTTACTGGTTTAGGTAAGAAATGTTAACTGCAAGCAGAAGGCTAATTTATAGTTTGAACAGACCTAATATTAATTTAAACAGGACAAAGAAACAACATAAGTACATATTATAAAAACTTTTAAACTCTTCCCTAATACTTCATTTCCATTTGATACTGAAAATTAAACAAATTTTCAACCTTAATTCAATTTATATCTATTTAAACATTATATAAAACATTCTATATTAACAATGGATTGATTTACTATTTTCCCTGAAGCACTGTTCTGCATGATTGGATTTCTAAGCAACCCTCAGAGTTTGAAACAACTATGACTTATTTGTAGAGCAATGGAAAGTTACACAGCTTACTCAAACACAAGTGTTGAATATCAATTTGAAGTCTTTCAAACACTGAGTTTTTCTTTCTGTGTTTTCCATCCACCTGCATAAATAGAACATTATTGTAATAATTATTTCTTACATTTAAAAAAGCTTTATGAAAATAAAAAGATTTCTATTTGTTTTCAAAATTCAGAGCAACAGAATATATTTAAAAATTAAGATTGTATATTCTTTGATAAGAACTTCAAAATATCACACTTTTTAAAAAAGATTTGAAACGTTTATCAATTATATATACATTATTTCCTTCAACTTTAAAAATTCCCAATTCACTGACAAAAGAACTGAAGTTCACTGCTCTTTTTTTTTTTTTTTTTTT